GTCTCTTTATCCTGAGAGCCACACTGACAGGACGCAGACACTGACAAAGCAAAATAAATTTAACTAAAATTATTTTATCTTTTACTACTAACAACACACGTTTGACTGTAGAAACATTAGAAAGTTTCAGATAATAAAAATAAAAACTATTTAAATGGCTATGCATTCAAAAATAACACATGCACTGTTAATATTTTGGTAATAATGGGTCCTTCCCTACATTCCTTTTTTTTTTTTTTTTTTTGAGATGGAGATTTGGCTCTTGTCACCGCAGGCTGGAGGCAAATGGCACGATCCGTCTCAGCTGCAACCTCCTTCCCTACCCTGATTCAAAGCCGATTCTTCTGCGCTCAGACTAGCAAGAGAAGTTGGGACTGACAGGTGTGCACCTATCCACTACTGGCTAAATTTTTTTGTACTTTTAGTAGAGACAGAGTTTCACCATTTTGGCCAGGCTAAGCCTCCAACTCCTGACCTCAGGTGATCCTCCTGCCTCAGCCTCCCAAAGTGCTGGGATTTTACAGATGAGAGCCACCAAGCCCGGCCTTTTTTTCTTTTCTTTTCTTTTTTACTTTTTTCTAATATAAATGTGAACACAGTGTTTCATTTTCTTGACTTTTTGTTGCTAAACCACTTAACATAAGTAACACATTATTTTTTATGACTCATATAGGTCCACTTTATGGATAACATACAACTTTGTATCTATAACTGGCAGAAATTTCAGTCATGATTTTTTTTTTTTTTTTTCCGAGACGTAGTCTCACTCTGTTGCCCAGGCTGGAGTGCAGTGGTGCCATCTCAGCTCACTGCAACCTCCACTGGGATTACAGGTGCGCGCCACCATACCCAACTAATTTTTGTATTTTTAGTAGAAACAGGGTTTTATCATGTTGGCCAGGCTAGTCTTGAACTCCTGACCTCAAGTGATCTACCCACCTTGGCCTCCCAAAGTGCTGGGATTACAGGATTGAGCCACCAAGCCCAGCCAGTTGTTTTTATTGTTTTCACTACACTGCATTATAAACAATGTTATGGAGAACATCACTTACAAATACTCATAATTATTTCCACAGAATAAATTTCTAGAAATTAAATTATTATGTCACAGTATAGCTAGTCAGCTGTTGTACCATAGCTCCAAACCCACTCTTTTATTTTTTTAGATCTCAGCTAACTGCAACCTCCGCCTCCCAGGTTCAAGTCATTCTCTTGCCTCAGCTTCCCAAGTTGCTGGGATTACACGTATGCACCACCACACCCGGCTAATTTTTTTTTTTTTTGAGATGAAGTCTTGCTCTGTCACCAGGCTGAAGTGCAGTGGCGCGATCTCGGCTCACTGCAACCTCCGCCTCCCGGGTTCAAGAGATTCTCCTGCCTCAGCCTCCCGAGTAGCTGGGACTACAGGTGTGTGCCACCACGTCCAGCTAATTTTTGCTTTTAGGATGGAGTTTCGCTCTTGTTGCCCAGGCTGGATTACAATAGCTCAGTCTTGGCTCACCACAACCTCTGCCTCGTGGGTTCAAGTGATTCTCCTGCCTCAGCCTCCCGAGTAGCTGGGATTATAGGCATGTGCCACCATGCCAGGCTAATTTTGTATTTTTAATAGAGACAGGGTTTCACCACGTTGGTCAGGCTGGTTTCGAAATCAGGTGATTCGCCCACCTCGGCCTCCGAAAGTGCTGGGATTACAGCGTGAGCCACCACGCCAGGCCTAATTTTTGTATTTTTAGTAGAGATGGGGTTCACCATGTTGGCGAGGATTATCTCAATCTCTTGACCTTGCGATTCGCCCACCTCAGTCGCCCAAAATGCTGGGATTACAGGCGTGAACCACCGTGCCTGGCCTAACTTTTTATTTTTAGCAGATACTAGGATTCACCATGTTGGCTAGACTGGTCTCAAACTCCTGACCTCAGGCGATCCCCCGGCCTTGGCCTCCCAAAGTGCTGGGATTATAAGTGTGAGCTACCATGCCCGGTCGAAACCCAGTCTTTTTATTTTATTTATTTATTTTTTTAGAGACAGGGTCTTGCTCTGTTTCCCAGGCTGGAATGCAGTGGCAAGATCACAGCTCACTGCAGCCTTTAACTCCTGGGCTCAAGCCTTCCTCCCACCTCAGCCTCCTTAGTAGCTGGAACAACAGGCATCTAATTTTTAAATTTTTCATAGAGATGGGGTCTCGTCATGTTGCCCAGGCTGGTCTACAACTCCTGGGCTCAAGCGATCCTCCCACCTTGCCCTCCTAAAGTGCTGGGATTATTTGCTGGAGCCACCGTGCGTGGCCCACATGCACTCTTTGCAGTTGGCTTTGTGATTCTGGGGCTGGCACTGCAGAATCTTTCCTTTGGTAGCCTGCCCTCTCTAGGGTTGCCAATAGGAGGTGCTGCAGGAGAACTGGAAAACTGAAGGAGAAACAAGGGACTTAGGACCTTGTACTTACTGTCAGTAGTAGCAGTTGGTTCCAATTTTCAGCTTTGTCTCGTACCCCCGGAGCTAGCAACCGTGCACACCCCCCGAGACACCAGCACCAACTGGCCAAGGGCCTTCCAGAGAGGACTGGGTCCTAGCTCTGTTCAAGCCCTCATCAGGGCAGCTGGGTTTTGAGATCCCCAGGCTCTTCCCTTGGGTCCTCAGACTGAGGGATAGGAGATGTAGAGGATGGCTACTTCTTGCACCTTTTATCTGTTACCCCAGTGCTCTTTTTTTTTGCTGCTTCAGTCTTCCTATATATATATATATATATTTTTTTTTTTTTTTTTTTTTTTCTGAGACAGAGTCTCGCCCTGTCGCCTAGGCTGGAGCGCACTGGCATGATCTCGGCTCACTGCAACCTCTGCCTCCTAGGTTCAAGCAATTCTCGTGCCTCAGCCTCCTGAGTAGCTGGGAAGACAGGTGCCGCCACCACGCCCAGCTAATTTTTGTATTTTTAGTAGAGATGAGGTTTCTCCATGTTGGCCAGGCTGGTCTCAAATTCCCGACCTCAGGTCATCCACCTGCCAACGTGCTGGGATTACAGGCGTGAGCCACCGCGCCTGGCCGTAAAAGCATTTTTAAGGCTCTTGGTGTGGGCTGCTAAACTGCCTTTTAGAAAGGCTTTAAATTTACATTCTCATGGGAGCTTCATAGCACGAAATCTGCACACTGGTATAGGGTAGATTAAGCAGGTTTTTTGCAGGTTAGCTTACTTCTCTACAACCATGTTTGCACCAGGAACTTTCAACTTAAGAAATAAATTTGACAGGTGAAAAGTGGTTTGTTTGTTTTTTTGAGACAGAGTCTCATTCGCTCGCTCAGGCTGGAGTACAGTGGCAGGAATTCGGCTCACTGCAACCTCCGCCTCCCGGGTTCAAGTGATTCCCCTCACTCAACCTCCCTGGGACTACAGGTGCCTGCCACCACACCTGGCTAATTTTTTTTTGTATTTTTAGTAGAGACAGGGTTTCACCATACTGGCCAGGCTGGTCTTGAACTCCTGACCTTGTGATCCGCCCACCTCGGCCTCCCAAAGTGCTGGGATTACAGGAGTCAGCCACTGTACCTGGCCCAAGAATATGCATTTTTAACAAGCTCCCTGTTATACCCACAGTTTGGAAACTGGGTTATAGGATAGTGTTAAAAAACAAATGCTTTAAGTTCAAAGGTAAAATGAACCAGATAATTCCATTCAGATAACACTACCAACGTGTACTGTTGATACCAGCTGGGTCTTGGTGTTAATCATCTGACTTTCAATGGTTCCTGCTGAATCATCAGAGACCAGTAGGTGAAATGGTTGTCCTATTCCCAAGTACTCAGGGCAAGACGAACCAAAAGTACATCCTCTGCAGGTCACAGGTTAGTAGGTTATACACAGAGGTAGCAGGATATTAGGTAACAGACTTAGAGCAACGTCGTCCACTAGCTTTAGATGACCTTGCCTAAGTGTAGCACATGGCAGGCCATGTGTGTTCCAGCAACCTACCTGTATAAAATTTCATCAGGGAAGGTACCAACAACTTGGTGGAGAGAGGATGGTTCTCAATCATTTCAAAAAACTTCTGGGTTCGTGGCTGAACAGCAGGGTTGGTCATAAACATGACTTCTACAAGTTTGGCCACCAAATATGGGTTTCGGATGTAGTTCTGGTTGCACAACATCACAACAAGGAACATCACAATATCCTGAGTACAGGGCTCATAAAGCGCCTGGGGAGAGTATCTGAATAGAGGCAAGAAGAGCAAGAAAGAGACCACTGAGAAACTCACCTTGGGTGAGGGCTGGTGTCAGTTGAGTGAGGAGGGGAAGGCAGGATAAATAGGTTTAGGAGTGCCCTTGAACTCGTTCAGTTTACAGTGACTTCCTTTTTTTTTTTTTTTTGAGACGGAGCCTCGCTCTGTCACCCAGACTAGAGTGCAGTGGCACGATCTCGGCTCACTGCAAGCTCCCCCTCCCAAGTTCAAGCGATTCTCCTGCCTCAGCCTCCTGAGTAGCTGGGACTACAGGTGCCCACCACCATGCCCAGCTAATTTTTGTATTTTTAGTACAGACGGGGTTTCACCACGTTGGCAAGGATGGTCTTGATCTTTTGACCTCGTGATTCACCCGCCTTGGCCTCCCAAAGTGCTGGGATTACAGACGTGAGCCATTGCACCCAGCCTATAGTGACTATTTATACTGTAACAAGACAGATTTAAAACCAAACGTGGTTACTGGCTGTAGCATGTTATATTAATGACAAATGAAACTTACGATTAAATCAGATAAACCTCACAAAGATCATCACTACCAAAACATCATAAAAATTTTGATAGTTATTTGTTTAATCTCTGTTGAAAATGAGAATAAATGAAATTTTTCAAATAGGTGTCTTTTGTATCACTGTGCGTAGAACAAATTTTAAAATATGACTTGAGTTGCTTAAATTCCAAGGTTGGTTTTTTTAAACAAATAAACCATGCTTTTGAGTCACTTTTAAAATTTCGTACCAATTAAAATCACGTGTCACCAATGATTTGGGTTTTTTTTGTGTGTTGCCCTGGCTGGAGTGTAGTGGCATGATCTCCACTCATTGCAACTTCTGCCTCTATTTGGGCATTTTTTTAAAGGTAGCTTTTATGACAGCAATATAACTTGCTCCATTTAGTTTTGGCCCTTAGTTTAAAATCATTTATACTAATTTTGTTTTTTTCCATGGTTTGTTACAAAACTTTCACAATTTGTATTCTGTAACTGGGGACCTATGCTATTTACTTATTTTTTTTTAAAGAGATGCAGACTTGCTACATTGCCCAGACTGGTCTTGAACCAGGCTCAAGCAATCCTCCTGCACGTCTAGGACTACAAGCATGAGCCACAGTGCCCAGCGTGACTTTGACTTTTCACAGTAGACTTCACATACCACTCCCTCAGCTAGCCATAGGTGCTATCATGGTGCCAAGGGAATGAAATTGTAATTCTTCTAACCTGTAATGTTTTAGAAAGAAAATGTTAATTTGATAAACCAAATAAGGATTTGAAAAAAAAAATTAAAACCTTACAATATCAGTTGTAAATTCAAACCAATTTTTGGTAAGCATTCTCCAATTTTACAATTGAGACAAATTTTAGTACAAAATATAGATGTGGATATTTCTGGGTTTGGGATGTTCATTCAGACATTTATAAACTGCTCCTTCTGTTGCTCAGAAACACATATTCAACTATTAGAAATTCAACTCAATTTTCACAGAATACATTATCTGCACTGTTAATTCTGCCTCTGTCTTTGAGATATTATTCAAATTGGACTGGTGCCACAGTTGGATTTATTTTTTCCAGTCTCTAGGCAGCATTCAGTTACAACAGTTACATCAAATTTCAGGCATGAAATGGAGGTTTGCAACACAGCTCAGAATACTATAGTATTATGCATAAAAACATATTAGAACTATGTAAAATATTAAAGGCACTTACTGTACAATAAAAAATAAAAATTCTGCAACATCTTCTACATAAAACTCAGGCAATGCTGCAAATACCTTGGGGACATCTGAATTTAAAGGCAGTGTTATACTGTCAAAGAGAAAAAAGCACAATTTACAAAATGAAATTATGGTACATCAAACTACAAAGAGTATTACATTACCATCAAATAAGTATTTCATTTGGAGAAAAAATTCATTCTGTAATATAACCATGTAATAAATACACAGGCAAAGAAACTACAACCAGAAATGAACAGGGAATAATGAAGACAGTACATATGCAAGGGTGTATGTGAAATGTTTTCCTTTTCTTGATTTCTTTTTTTTTCGGGAGGGTGCAGTGACGCGGATCTCAGCTCACGCAGCAAGCTGCTGCGGGCTCCTGGTTCAGAGCAATTTTGTGCCTCAGGCTCCGCGAGTAGGCTGGGATTCAGGCACCTGCAGCCACACTGGCTAATTTTTCTATTTTTAGTAGAGACAGGGTTTCACCATGTGGTCAGGCTGGTCCAAACTTCGCTGACCTCAAGGATCCGTCTGCCTTGGCTCCCAAAGTACTGGGGTTACAGATGTGAGGCCACCATGCCCAGCCTCGTGATTTCTCGTGTAAGTGTTAACTGCAATAAATAAAATGGGAAAGGAAATAAAAAGGTCATATTTGTCATTGTGTGCAAACTCAGAGAGCTGTCTGAGACAACAGAGCTACACACGTTTTTGTTTTTGTTTTTCTTTGAAGCGGTAGTCGTGCTCTGGTCCGCCCAGGCGGACGTGCAGTGTGCCAGAGGGTCTTGGCTCACTGCAAGGAGCCTGCGGGTGTCTCTGGGTTTAAGCAATTCCTGGCACCCTCAGCCTCCTGAGTAGGCTGGGCGATTACAGGTGGCCTGCCAGCCACACCTAGCTTAATTTTTGGTATTTTGAGTAGAGATGAGTTTGCGCCGATGGTTTGCCAGGCTGTCTCTCAAACTCCTGACCTCAAGTGATCCACCTGCCTTGCCTCCCCAAGGTACTGATTACAGAATGAGCTACGGCGCGGCCTG